CCCATGTCCCCCAGGTGTGGGATCGCAGTGGGTCTCCATCACTCCTAGCAGAGGAATAGGAAAGGGGTCTTGTCCTCTAACTGGTCCCGATAAGGTGATGGCAGGAAATCAAAAGCCCAAAAGAACAAAAATGTGCGTGTGTGGTAATTCTAACAACAAATCTCTTCAGTGAAATGAGGAAGTTCCCTCTGAAGCACCGCATGGTGCCCTGGAACACCCTATGGAAAGGTATTTGTTCTGCCAAGGCACGTGTGTGGGTCCAGCATAGCAGCTTCTGTGCCTTTGTTCAAAGACAAACAAACAAACAAACAAGCTCCTTAAATTGCAATGTTTTTGTAATGTGTTTTTGGCTTAGAAATCCCCAGCAGATAGTGGCAAATAGCTCCCAGCCGTTTGCCTGTGGAAGCATTATGGAGAAGAGCTAATCCCATAGGAGCACAGGGGAGAGGAGTTCTTTGAACTTTGGTGGACAGGAGATGATGGAGGTTGACAAAGAAGGAAAACAGATTGTGAAGATTTCAGGTGGCTGAAGGAATAGGAGCACCATAGTCCACAGTGAAGAATGGTAGATTTCAGAAACAAAGGGATTTTTTTCAAATATTTCCTTAAACTTGGCATTTATTTTTCATGTGATTGTTTGCTGCAGGGTGTAAATGTGGAGAATTGCATGTACACAAGGGAGGATAAAGTTCCCCAAGTTTATTTGTACTTTTTTTTTTCTCTGCAGTGAAGGGCTTCCTTTCCTCACAGTGCTTTATTTTATCTCCCCCCCCCGCTGCCCTCCAGTTCCTCAGCTGCACCTCTCCAGGTAAGAGAGGTGCCTAGGTCAGGCTAGGTCATGCCAGGGCAGCTAAGAGCAGTGGGGAGCACCCAGAGGCGAGTGATGGATAATCCATTTTCCCGAGGACGGCAGCACTGCTGTCCCCGTAGAGCACCACAGCTATCTTCTGGGGTGCCATAAATCCAGGATCTTTAGCAAGGCAAGCTTCCTAAGAGGTGGGATGCAGTACATGCAACTTCAGCCTTCCTCACTGAAGAGCAGGAGGATTTTTCTTGTGCTACTCTTTCCACAGAGGTCACAACCAGTAACCCACACTCTGCAAAGTCGCTCTAAGCCAGTGGCATGAGCGAGTGTGGGGGAAGAAGGACGAGCATTAGTGTCTCCTTCAGCATGGAGACGTGTGGTATTTGCATGCCCAAACATCCACCTTGTGCGTGCAGCCACTTCTGTAGCGGGTTTGTGTCCTGCCAACAAGGCTTTTCCATTGCAGCAGCATCGGGGGGTTGGTTTTTTTGCACATGTGGCTTCTGGGTTCTGCTGTCCTCTTCTGAACAGACGGCACTCGGGGCTGAGTTGACTCTTTGGCACACGGTGTGATCCCTGGTGATTCACGGCCCCCAACATCTGCGATTAGACCTTGAACAGAAACTTTTCATGCATGGCCATGGTAGAGGAAACCTGCTCCTTTTCTGAGTAACTGGTAAAAGAACAAAAGAAGGTTTATTTTTCTTCTAGCTATAAAGGTCTACCTTAAATTAAGTAAACTGTTCCCTGAGGGAGAAAGTGTCCAGGTACAGAATGTTCACAAAGGAAATATTCAAAGTGTCTACTATGTCCCTAAAGTGTTTGCTTTAAAGTATGAGGGCCAGAGCAGAAAAATAGAATATTATTTTCTAATTCGAAAGCAAAAATACCTCTTGCAGGCAGCAGAAAATAAATTGACCTCCTTTGGGCTTGATACTGCAGCCCATTAAGCACACAGGCGATGAGAAGCTATGGAGAAGCTGCCGTTTGCAGAGATGGCTCCTGTCCCAAGTGCACAGCCCGTGTGAGTGTGGGGGGTGGGAACCAGCCGATGTCAGAGGCAGCCCCGCTGCGTTCAAACTGTCGGCGTTGCAACAGCAGAGGAATTGGAGTCTATAGGAATCTGAGTGCTGCTGGGTTTTAAGTGATACAGGGTAAGAGTCTTGCTAATTGGGACTTCAGCAATGGAGGATCCATGCCTTGACCTTACCGGTGTTATTTTTGTGCTTTCTTTTGCTGTTGTACAGCCTTGCTAGTTCCCCTTTTGAATGAGTCCCAAGTGAAGCAGAGCTGCCCTGTGATCCGACCATGGCAACACCTAACTTGCCATGGGCTTTTGTGAGGTCCAAAATGAGCTTCTCTAATGTCAGCCAACTGAACTAATGTCATCGTGTTCCTGGCTCGGTGGGCCCTAGATGAAGATTTTTCCTTTTTTTTTTCCTCCTCACTGATTCTGAAAGCTCCCCACAAACATGGGTTATCTTTTCTCATACATTGCTGCCAATAAATATACCAGTATAGCACTCCCCAGTAAAATCTTGCCCTTGACTATACCTTTTTGGTTCCTTTGAAGAGCAAGGATGCAGCTTCATGTATTCTTCTTTATTACTGCTGTGAAAATGGAGGAGAAAGAAAGGACTGGGGAAGATGCTCAGACTTGGTTTTCCTTGGGAATGTGAAAATTCTGTTGGGGGGTGGTGGTATTCTCCTAAAGACTTTTGTTTCTCTTTCAGAGCAAAACAGTTCAATGTGCTACTTTGAATGTTCCCATTTCTCTTTGCCATGCAGTGTTTCCAGGAACACAGGGTTTATTTGGAAGATTTTTTTGACAGTGGAAACATCTCGCTGCTGTTTGAGTGAGGAGTTCCCCATCCCGGCTTATCAAGGAGTGGGTAGTGGGTGCGCGAAGCTCTTCTGTACCTGTTAAGGTGCAATGAAAAGCTGAGGTTACAGAATCATCTCGAGGGTGTAAGGACTGATGAATAAGAGTGTCATTTGTGCTGCCAGCTGAATTTAGTGCTTTGAGTAAAGGCCATAAAAAAAAAGTCTTTTTTTTTGCTCCAACAATATCTAGACATGCAGAGAACATTGATAGTTCAGGGATGGGATGTAAGTTGTAGTGACAGTTTCTCCATTGCTGTGTCTCTGGGGTATCCGTCCATCTAGGCTGGTTGGGTCTGAGCTTTCATTGACCATAACTTTCAAAACTGGGTAAAGTGTGCTGCAACCTGGCAGTATATGGCTGAGCTCAGACTCAGGAGAGTGGGTCCTTGGTTCCTCTGTCACATGCTGGTGGCTCGTGTTGAGGAGAGGAGCATGGACAGCATCATACATGCTAAAGAAGGGGCACGGCTGGAACTTGGCTTTGGGAAAGCCCCACTGTCCCCTCACTGTCCGCACTGTCCCTGTTCCACTTCAGGCAAAGGGGGATAGCTGCCATTCTCGTTCACCAGGACTGTCACTTAGGGCAACAGGACTTTTGCTTCTCATCTGAGCAGTTGTGACGCAGAAATCCTTGAGGAACAATAAATAAGGAACCCACCTTGCCACTTCTGAGTCATTTTTTTCTTCTCAAAAAAAACCCCCTCTTTAAATAGCATCATTTACACTTGGGAGCTGCTTGAATCCACCCTGTCACATAAATTACCATTTCTGAACTTGGCTGTCAGGAAGCGTCCTCATGAGTTGACATCCATAGGGGGTGTCAGTTGAAGGGGTTCGGTTTCATGGAAAAGGAGGAGGAATTCAAGTGTCAAGTGAATACACTCATCCTTGTGTTACCTCATGCAGCGAGGGCATCTCAGTCCCGCCAGAGGTGAGCCCCAGCGTGACCTTTGCTCCTCAGAGTGCCCTTGTTCCCCTTCACTTTGGTAGCTGCAAGGCTGGGTCCGACATCTGGAGCAAGCCATGTCCTCCTGCATCTCAGACAATTAGAGCCTGGCCCAGCAAGTGGCCCTGGAGCAGAGGCTTCAGGGATATTATAGTTTTCTTGCAGAGATAAAGGCCATGGGCTTTTCTCTCTGCTCTGCCGCTGATGTTGAAACGAGATTGGCCCATCTGGCAGCGGAGGAGATGAGCTTTGCCAGACGGATCCGGCTTGCTGAGCAGCAGCACTGAGAACGGTTCAACAGGCAGCACCTAGCCTTTATTGTATTTCCTGCATGCTAATGAAGCCTGTGTTTTCTGGAGCTACTTTTTAACCTTGTTGTATGTTGGTTTTGGCATGGATGCTTTTATTCCTCCCATTTGAAATAAGCGGGAGAAAAATGTGAATAAAATGCCAGTTCCTCCCCCCCCCCCTCCAAAAAAAAAGGGTAATACAAGAGAATTGTAAGGATGCATTGTGGTGAGAATGGTTGCAATTGTTTGCTGCCAGGAGTTGAAACATGGAGAATTGAAGCTTTATAGTGTCAGTGGCAGGTTCCTGTCTGATGTGTGTTACCCTTTGGCGGCGTGCACGGGAGCCTCGCTGCAGCAGTACACAGCACTGGGTGTGATGTCAGCCCTGCGTGCACGTGTTTTTGGCTTTCCCTGTGGCCACATGGAGAGGGAATTTGCAGCAATCCAAACATTGACAGAACTGTATTTGTTGAGCTGCAGAAAAGCGTAGCTCATGCTCCTCTGGGCTGTGATCACGTAAGCCGAAATGCGATGACTGCTGCCTGTGCTTGCTGGCCTCCCAGCATCGATAAACCTGCAAACCAGATTCATTTATTTAGGCCCTGATTCAGCAAAGCACTTAAGTACATGCTTCAGGCTTTCTTCTTTCCAGTAACATTGTCGGCATGCTCAAAGTTAAGCATGTGCTTAAGTGCTCTCCTGAGTACACAGCAAACAAGTGATGGGGGCAGTGTGTGCTGCTGCTGTGCTCTGCAGGTTGGCACGCAGGCTGCAGAATTGAGGCCTCTGGTATTAACATTTAATTCATTTATTTGTCTCCCCCCAGTACAGGAGCCCTAGTCCCAGGTTCTGAGATGATTTTCTGTCCTTCTGCAGGAAGGTGGGTTGTTTCTGTAGCACAGAATATTCCTTGTGTCCCGCTCTTGTGTGTTGAACAGATGAGTGTGCCCTTCTGCTGGGCGTGGGGCAGGGGGTCTCTTCTCAGTTTCCATCAGCAGGACATCAGCAAGTATTTCTTCAGAATTTTTTTTCTTTCCCCTAAGAGTTGTAAAAGAATAATATGAATACCTCTGTGTGTGTGCACCTGCGTGCTCCTGAGCTACACGGGTCAGAGGGTGAATGTTTGGTTTATGTTCTTCAGGATTTCTCAAGGTGGAAGGGCTGGGAAGTGGCAGATGTTACTACATTATTTGTGCGCCTTGCAGTAACTGTGTTAAGTTCAGACCCACCATATTCAGGCCCCAGTGTTAACAGACCCTCACTTCCCCAGCTGTGGAATAGATACTTAATCCACAAGATGGTTGTATTTCAGTCTGCTCAGAGCAGCTTCTGAGAGAGCATTCTTTCTAATCCCCACCCATATCTGACCTGTTCTAGCTCGTTTTTAAGAGCTGCACCCAGCCAGTCCCTAGCTCTGTGCAGAAAGGTTTCTGCACATCTTTTCCTGCTTGCTGAGCTCATTTGGACTGGGAGCCCACACATCAGTGACTGGGATTCCTGTATAAATTTGCCCCGTTTGCAAAATCGGAATTGATTTAGAGCATCTCTGTTCCTTACGAAACCCAGAAGACATGAGTATGGCTACATGTGCTTTTTTTCCTTCCCTTTGAAGTTTAAAACATGCCTAGCAAATCTGATGTTTGTAGTTCCCCACCTGATGTGCAAAATGCAAAGGTCCTTCCAGAAGCACGGGTCAGACTAACTTTTGTACTGATGCTGCAAGCCGGATTGCAAGGATCTGGGCAGTTTTTGTTAAGAACTTGCCTTTAATTAGCCTAGAAAATACTTGCAATGTAGGTTTAACAAATGTTGTTTTTTTAATGTGAAATAATTCGATCTGTGAATCAAACAGCCTCCGTGCCCCACCCCCTGCTGCTGCTGACAGCCTCTTCCCACACTTCTTCCTTGGTAGCACTGTTTGACTGTTCCAGCCCCAGTAGGTTTCAGTTACTGATCAGTGTAATTGCAATAACACACCAATAATAAAAGAGGAATTTAAGCTTCCTTTTCTTGTAGTTGAAGGCTCTTCTCCTGCAAAAGCTTGAAGTCTTAATAGCAGTCACACGAGCAACATCCCGTGCCTGTCAAGTGTTTGCAAAACTGGGCGGCAGTACTTCAAGAAGATAAAGGGCTAGATTTTGGGAACTTGGAAACAGCCCAATCCTATCAGGCGGCATTGGTACAGCTAATATTAGAATGGGAAGCTCTAGGGACGGCTTAACATTTTAGTGGATGCCAAGGAAGCCTTGAATAGGAATGCACTGAAAGTTGCTTGTTGTATAACACAAGTTGCTGGAGTTGGAGTAATTCGAGTTGCCTTTAGTCTGGTGGAAAACTACAGCTGTGAGCAATGAGTTAATTTTTTCCGTGTGTGTGTGTGGCTTAGGTTTCCCTGTTGGGTTTGCTTTTAGTTTTGTAGGAGTGACTGTGAACCGGTCGTTTGTCTTCATGTGCCATCCCAGGCTGCTGCTGCTGCAACAGCTCTGCAGCTAGTGATGGGTTAAATAAAACACCTTAAAAATGCAAAGTGGTTATGGGGCTGAGCTGTAGCAGCTCCTGCTTTGTATACAAGAAAGCCACCGGCGGCTCTTCCTGCCTGAAC